TATATTTGTATATATATATATATTTTAACCATTGTCCTGGCATTTGAGGATAGAACCGTTGGACAGGAAGCTGCCGGGACCGAAGCCATGATGCCGGGAGGGCCACAGCCCTTTCCCTCTGCCTCTGTACATAATGGGGAGCAGGACCACAGAGCCAGTCCCTTCCAAATAAAGAAGGGTAGATTTGTATGTTTTTATATGTTAATACAAATTACAAGACCTCACGTAGTTTATCCTATTGCAAACAGAAATGAAAGAGGAAAATCTAAGCTCTCAAAATAAATTTTGAGCTCTAGAAATAAATATAAAAGTTGAGATAATTCACATTGTTGCATATTTCTTCAACAAAATTGCACAACTTTATAATAAAAATCTCAAGGGGACTCAGGAAGACAAAGGCAGGAAGGACTTTTCATAAGCCTCAAAGCTCTGTCAGAGCCCACAACTAAGTGTGTGTTTCCAGCACATGGCTGTTTGGAATATGTGTGCTTTCCCCAAAAGGAATAAATTAGAAATATTTTATTTAAATACTACAAAATCACACAAAGTACCTGTAAAATGTATTTAATCCTTTGTGATACTATCTATATTTAAAAAGAACAGTTTTAAATATAAGCACTGAGTTATGCTAGTATAGAATAGGAAAATGGATTTTTCATTATGAAAACTCTATTTCTTTTTCTTGAATTTCTCAAAAAGAGGTAATGAGAATACTTCACTTTGGCTGCCAGTGAGTGGATTTTTAGAGTATCTGGTATTTGAAGCATTCAGGCATTCTCATGTTTGGGGCATCGTAATGTTCAGAAAGGCCAATTGAAAGAACAAAACTAAACTGTTCTTGAATTAAGACACATCTGTTCTATTCATAAAAGTTGTTTTAAATAGAACAAAAAAATTTAATAGATTTTAAAAAGCCTGTTGTACACAAACGAAACCTTCACAAAGATGATGAGGTAGTCAGTTCGCAAGGGTGACTGAGGAAGGACAAGAACTGAACAAGCACAAATTTCTATGAGATTGCCAGTGATGGGAAAAGAGTCCAGTGGTTTACATACTCAGCAAGTGTCTTAATGTGTCCATGATGACTCTCCTTTGTTCTGTGCTATCTTGAAGACTTATCTACTTTATTTAGACAGTTTTCCAGTTTGATAGTGAGTTCTCTGCTGCTTGTCTAATGCTTTGGTACTCCACGTAGGAGCTCAGACAACAGGCTTGCAATTTCCCCAACAGGAACTTTTATTCCTCTTTAGAAGCTTCAACTAAATTTAAAATATTTACTAAATATGAGCAGGAAGGTGATAAACCAGCATTCAACATGTCTTGTCAAGCTACCTTTTCCTATATTTAGAAATTACTTCCTCTTTCAAGGAATTTGTACTAGAAAGCTCAGTTGGACTCAATAATTAGTACTGTGGGTTTGAATCATCAGAACCTTGGCAAGGCTTTAATATTTCAAAAATATTAACAAGTACCTCTAGGGGAAAATCATGTTAACTGAGTTATGGCAAATTTATTATCATGAGGAAAAGCAAGTATAGCCAGACTTCTTAAAAATATCCCTCAATTATTGCTTCTTAATTTAGAAAGATTAAAATTACAAATGTTTCATCAGGCAAATCCCATTTCTGCCCTGGTAATTTTCAAATTAAATTATTCACTAAAGGGAATTTACCCTGAACATACATTTTAT